GGCCCTTGTTCTTGCTATTTTGCACACTCTAGGCCCTTGTTCTCGCAATTTTGCACATGTATGCCCTTGTTTTTTTTTTTTTTTGCACACGCTAGGCCCCTGTTCTTGCTATTTTGCACACGCTATGCCCTTGTTCTTTTTATTTTGCACACACTAGGCCCTTCTTCTTGCAATTTTGCACATGCTAGACCCTTGTTCTTTTTTTTTGCACACGCTAGGCCCTTGCTCTTGCTATTTCGCGAATGCCAGGCCCTTGTTCTTGACTTTTTGCACACGCTAGGCCCTTGCCCTTGCTATTTTGCACTCGCCAGGCCCTTGTTCTTACAATTTTGCACACGCTAGGCCCTTGTTCTTGCAATTTTGCACACGCTAGGCCCTTGTTCTTGCAATTTTGCACACGCTAGGCCCTTGTTGTTTTTATTTTGCACACGCTAGGCCCTTGTTCTTTTTTTTTTGCACACGCCAGGCCCTTGTTCTTGCTATTTTGCACACGCTATGCCCTTGTTCTTTTTATTTTGCACACGCTAGGCCCTTGTCCTTGCAATTCTGCACTTGCTAGACCCTTGTTCTTTTTATTTTGCACAGCCTAGGCCCTTGTTCTTGCTATTTCGTGAATGCTAGGCCCTTGTTCTTGATTTTTTGCACACGCTTGGCCCTTGCTCTTGCTATTTTGAACTTGCTAGGCCCTTGTTCTTGCAATTTTGCACGCGCTAGGCCCTTGTTCTTGCAATTTTGCACACGCTAGGCCCTTGTTCTTGCAATTTTGCACACGCTAGGCCCTTGTTCTTTTTATTTTGCACACGCTAGGCCCTTATTCTTGCTATTTTGCACACGCTATGCCCGTGTTCTTTTTATTTTGCACACGCTTGGCCCTTGTTCTTGCAATTTTGCATATGCTAGACCCTTGTTCTTTTTATTTTGCACACGCTAGGCCCTTGTTCTTGCTATTTTGCACACGCTAGGCCCTTGTTCTTGCAATTTTGCACACGCTAGGCCCTTGTTCTTTTTATTTTGCACACGCTAGGCCCTTGTTCTTGTTTTTTTGCACACGCTAGGCCCTTGTTCTTGCTTTTTTGCACACGATATGCCCTTCTTTTTTTTTTGCACACACTAGGCCCTTGTTCTTGCAATTTTTCACATGCTAGACCGTTGTTCTTTTTATTTTGCACACGCTAGGCCCTTGTTCTTGCTATTTCCCGAACGCTAGGCCCTTTATATAGATTTTTTGCACACGCTAGCCCTTGCTCTTGCTAGTTTTAGCTCGCTAGGCCCTTGTTCTTGCAATTTTGCACATGATAGGCCCTTGTTCTTGCAATTTTGCACACGTTAGGCCCTTGTTTTTTTTTTTTTTTGCACACACTAGGCCCTTGTTCTTGCTATTTTGCACACGCTATGCCCTTGTTCTTTTTATTTTGCACACGCTAGGCCCTTGTTCTTGCAATTTTGCACATGCTAGAACCTTGTTCTTTTTTTTTTGCACACGCTAGGCCCTTGCTCTTGCTATTTTGCACCCGCTAGGCCCTTGTTCCTGCAATTGTGCACACGCTAGGCCCTTGTTCTTGCAATTTTGCACACGCTAGGCCCTTGTTCTTGCAATTTTGCACTCGCTAGGCCCTTGTTCCTTTTTTTTTGCACACGCTAGGCCCTTGCTTTTTTATTTTGCACACGCTAGGCCCTTGTTCTTGCTATTTCGCACACGCCATGCCCTTGTTCTTTTTATTTTGCACACGCTATGCTCTTGTTCTTTTTTTTTTGCACACGCTAGGCCCCTGTTCTTGCTATTTTGCGAACGCTAGGTCCTTGTTCTTGATTTTTTGCACACGCTAGGCCCTTGCTCTTGCTATTTTGCACTTGCTAGGCCCTTGTTCTTGCAATTTTGCATGCGCTAGGCCCTTGTTCTTGCTATTTTGCACATGCTAGGCCCTTGTTCTTGCAATTTTGCACACGCTAGGCCCTTGTTCTTTTTATTTTGCATAAGCTAGGCCCTTGTTCTTTTTATTTTGCACACGCTAGGCCCTTGTTCTTGCTATTTTGCGAACGCTAGGCCCTTGTTCTTGATTTTTTGCACACGCTAGGCCCTTGCTCTTGCTATTTTGCACTCGCTAGGCCCTTGTTCTTGCTATTTTGCACACGCTATGCCCTTGTTCTTGCAATCTTTTACATGCTAGACACTTGTTCTTTTTATTTTGCACACGCTAGGCCCTTGTTCTTGCTATTTCGCGAACGCTAGGCCCTTGTTCTTGATTGTTTGCACACGCTAGCCCTTGCTCTTGCTACTTTGGGCTCGCTAGGCCCTTGTTCTTGCAATTTTGCACATGCTAGGCCCCTCTTCTGGCAATTTTGCACACGCTAGGCCCTTGTTCTTGCTATTTTGCATACGCTATGCCCTTGTTCTTTTTATTTTGCACACGCTAGGCCTTTGTTTTTTTTTTTTTTTTGCACACGCTAGGCCCTTGTTCTTGCTATTTTGCACACGCCATGCCCTTGTTCTTTTTATTTTGCACACGCTATGCCCTTGTTCTTTTTTTTTTGCACATGCTAGGCCCTTGTTCTTGCTATTTTGCGAACGCTAGGTCCTTGTTCTTGATTTTTTGCACACGCTAATCCCTTGCTCTTGCTATTTTGCACTTGCTAGGCCCTTGTTCTTGCAATTTTGCACGCGCTAGGCCCTTGTTCTTGCAATTTTGCACACGCTAGGCCCTTGTTCTTGCAATTTTGCAGACGTTAGGCCCTTGTTCTTTTTATTTTGCATAAGCTAGGCCCTTGTTCTTTTTATTTTGCACACGCTACGCCCTTGTTCTTGCTATTTTGCGAACGCTAGGCCCTTGTTCTTGATTTTTTGCACACGCTAGGCCCTTGCTCTATCTATTTTGCACACGCTAGGCCCTTGTTCTTGCAATTTTGCACACGCTAGGCCGTTGTTCTTTTTATTTTACACACGCTAGGCCAATGTTCTTTTTATCTTGCACACGCTAGGCCCTTGTTCTTGCAATTTTGCACATGCTAGACCCTTGTTCTTTTTTTTTTTCACACGCTAGGCCCTTGCTCTTGCTATTTTGCACCCGCTAGGCCCTTGTTCTTGCAATTGTGCACACGCTAGGCCCTTGTTCTTGCAATTTTGCACACGCTAGGCCCTTGTTCTTGCAATTTTGCACTCGCTAGGCCCTTGTTCTTTTTATTTTGCACACGCTAGGCCCTTGTTTTTTTATTTTGCACACGCTAGGCCCTTGTTCTTGCTATTTCGCACACGCCATGCCCTTGTTCTTTTTATTTTGCACACGCTATGCCCTTGTTCTTTTTTTTTTGCACATGCTAGGCCCTTGTTCTTGCTATTTTGTGAACGCTAGGTCCTTGTTCTTGATTTTTTGCACACGCTAGGCCCTTGCTCTTGCTATTTTGCACTTGCTAGGCCCTTGTTCTTGCAATTTTGCACGCGCTAGGCCCTTGTTCTTGCAATTTTGCACGCGCTAGGCCCTTGTTCTTGCTATTTTGCACACGCTAGGCCCTTGTTCTAGCAATTTTGCACACGCTAGGCCCTTGTTCTTTTTATTTTGCATAAGCTAGGCCCTTGTTCTTTTTATTTTGCACACGCTAGGCCCTTGTTCTTGCTATTTTGCGAACGCTAGGCCCTTGTTCTTGATTTTTTGCACACGCTAGGCCCTTGCTCTTGCTATTTTGCACTCGCTAGGCCCTTGTTCTTGCTATTTTGCACATGCTATGCCTTTGTTCGTTTTTTTTTGGCACACACTAGGCCCTTGTTCTTTCAATTTTTTGTCGGATTTTTATAACTGATGCATGTTTGTAGGCTATAGTGGGGTAGCACATATGGGGTACAGCTTTCTAGGGTTGTATTTGTACCCAACTCTGACTTAGTCATTTCATTCCTGTTTTCCTTGCTTCACATGGTATAGAGCGGGTCCTGCCTTAGGACCGTTTTTTTAGGGCCCACCGAAGCGCGCCCCGAGGCGCGCCCTTTTTTTTAGCGACCCCTCGGGTCGCCTTTTCCCTCGCGGCCCTGCTGTCCCTCAGACGCGGCTCCGCCACCTCTCCTGATCGCGGCCCCGCCGCCTGCTTGACGCGGCCCCGCCGCCTCCCCTGACGCGGCCCCGCCGCCTCCGCTGAAGCGGCCCCGCCGCCTCCCCTGACGCGGCCCCGCCGCCTCTACTGCCGCGGCCCCGCCGCCGCCTCTGACGGCCCCGCCGCTGCACCCTACGGCCCGCCGCTGCACCCTACGGCCCGCCGCCTCTGACGGCCCCGCCGCTGCACCCTACGGCCCGCCGCTGCTCCTGCCGGCCCGCCGCCTCACCTGACGGCCCCGCCGCTGCTCCTGACGGCCCGCCGCTGCACCCTACGGCCCGCCGCCTCTGACGGCCCCGCCGCTGCACCCTACGGCCCGCCGCTGCTCCTGCCGGCCCGCCGCCTCACCTGACGGCCCCGCCGCTGCTCCTGCCGGCCCGCCGCTGCTCCTGCTGGCCCGCCGCTGCACCTGCCGGCCCGCCGCTGCACCCAGCGGCCCGCCGCTTCACCTGACGGCCCCGCCGCTGCACCTGCCGGCCCGCCGCTGCACCCTACGGCCCGCCGCCTGCACTTGCCGGCCCGCCGCTGCACCTGCCGGCCCGCCGCTGCACCTGCCGGCCCGCCGCTGCACCTGCCGGCCCGCCACTGCACCGGTCGACCCGCCGCTGCACCTGACGGCCCCGCCCCTGCATCTCCCGGCCGAGCCGCCCCAGCAGCCGAACCGTCCGGGAGCCGAGCCGCCCAACGCCGAGCCGCCCAACGCCGAGCCGCCCGGGAGCCGAGCCGCCCTGTCGCCGAGCCGCCCGGGAGCCGAGCCGCCCTGCGCTCGAGCCGCCCAGTAGCCGAGCCGCTGTGCACCCGAGCCGCCCGGTCGCTGAGCCGCCTTTCTGCATAGCTGCACGACCTGCCCTGCCTGGTGAGCACAGTCCCACTGACACTGCGAGCTCTTTCCCTACTGCTTGCACTGCGTCGCTGTCGTCGCCATGGCTACCCCTAGTGTCCTAGCTTTTGACGCTGAGGGTCGCGCCATTGATTTTGAGGTCTGGTTAGACGACCTGCAGCTGTTCTTACAGTGCGACAGGGCTGACGACCTTTCTCTCTTTGACCTCACCTGTGGCGCCTCTCCTGCCCCTGCTGCTGATGCTGATCCCGCTGTCCGCTCTAAGTGGGCCACCCGCGATGCTGCTGCACGTCTTGCTGTGCGTCGCCACCTCCCTACCTCTGAGCGTGCGCACTTTAGTCAGTACAAGAGTGCTCAGACCTTGTACGACGCTGTAGTTGCGCGCTACTCCTCCCCTGCCACTGCTGCACTGAGCCGTCTCATGCTTCCCTACCTCTTTCCTGACCTCTCTGCCTTTCCCACTGTCGCTGACCTCATTACACACCTCCGCACTAGTGACACTCGCTACCGCGCCGCCCTTCCTGCTGAGTTCTGCGCTAAGAACCCCCCCCCCCATGTACATCGCTCTCTACTACGTAGTCGCGCGCCTCCCTGACTCCCTTCGCGTCGTTAGGGACCACTTTCTCGCAGTCTGTCCCACCACCCTCACCGTCGACCTCCTCGAGAAGGCCCTCCTCGCAGCGGAGAAGAGCATAGTCGCTGTAGGTGCTTCTCGTGGTGACCCTCGCACCCCCATCTTTGAGGGGTGCTCTCCTTCCCCCTTGCTGCCCTCTGTTGCCTCTGCTGCTGCTGCCGACCTGCTTGGTCTTGAGTCGGTCGGCGCGGCGTCTGCCCCTAGTGGGAGACGTCGCTCCAGCAAGGGCAAGGGGGGCAAGGGCGCGGGTGGAGCTGGAGGGGGCGGTGGCGGTGGCGGTGGTGGCGGCGGAGGGAGTGGGGGTGGCGGCGGGACTAGTGGCGGAGGTGGTGGTGGTGGTGGCAGCAGTGGCGGAGACGGTGGTGGTGGTGCCAACGGTGGTGGTGGAGGCAGCGGCGGTGGTGGAGGCGGAGGAGGTGGAGGCGGTGGAGGCGGCAGCGGAGGAGGCGGTGGTGGTGGTGGAGGTGGAGCTGGTCGAGGTGGTACCCAGCAGCGTAGCGGCGGTGGTGGTGGCCAGCGCTCGCAGCGGCAGCAGCAGCAGCGCTCGCGGGACATCCCTCCGCCTCAGCAGCTTCGTGAGTGGTATGCTGGGCGTCAGAGGGGTGGGGGTACTGGTCCCTGCACCTACGTTCTTCGTTCCGGCGACCGCGCGGGTGAGCAGTGTGGGGGTGCCCACGCCACCCAGCGCTGCTTTGGCCGCCTGACGGACGCTTGGCGTCAGCAGTTCCCTGGGGCTAGTGAGATCCCTCGCTGGGATGAGCTTCAGAGGGCTGGTGTAGTGATCTTTGATCTTGATTTTGATGCTATCCTTGCTGCTATGTATGTTGTGGATTATAGTGAGGAGAATGAGGGTTACCGTTGTTTCCAGCCCGACCCGGGCATTGGTACTGCTGCGCTAGGTGCTTGTGAGGCTGCTGCTCTAGGTGCCAGTGCGTCTGTGCTCTCAGGTACTGGTGAGACTGCGCTCTCAGGTACTGCGTCGTCCTCGTCCTCCCTCACTTTCACACTTGACTCCGGAGCTTCTCGCTCCTTCTTTCGAGACCGCACTACCCTTACGCCGCTCGGCCGGCCGGTTGCGGTCTCCCTTGCTGACCCCTCTGGGGGTCCTGTCCTGTCTCACTTCTCCACTGTCCTCCCGTGTCCGGCTGCCCCTTCGGGCACCCTGTCGGGTCTGTACCTTCCCTCGTTCTCTACGAACTTGGTGAGTGGAGCGGACCTGCAGGATGTGGGGGTTCACCAGTTCACTCCTGCGAGTCAGCGGGTGACCCACTGCACGGAGGCACGCACAGGCCGACACCTGGCCACGTTCTCGCGTCGGCCGGGGTCGAGTCTCTACACCCTGACCGTTGAGTCTCCTCCTGTCCCTGCGTCTGGTCAGGTGGCTGCGTCGGGTCAGGTGCTTGCTGCTGCGTCCCGGTCAGGTCCTGAGTCTGCCCCCTGTTCTTGTTGCCTCCTGTCTCACGAGACTCTCCTGTGGCACCACCGTCTTGGCCACCCCTCCTTGCCCCGTCTTCGGAGCATGGCTTCCCGTGTCCTTGTCTCTGGTCTTCCCCAGTCTCTCCCTCCTCTCCCCTCCGGGCCAGGACCTTCCTGTGTCCCCTGTGTCGAGGGTCGCCTCCGGGCTACTCCTCACTCCTCCCACTTCCCCCCGACAGAGGCTCTCCTGCAGACGCTTCACATGGATGTGTGGGGCCCAGCCCCCGTTCCGTGGGCAGGGTTACGAGCGCTACTTCCTGTTGGTGGTTGACGACTACTCGCGTTACACCACAGTCCTCCCCTTGCGCAGCAAGGGTGCGGTCACTGAGGTATTGATCGACTGGATCCGCGAGGCTCGTCTCCAGCTCAGGAAGAGCTTCGGCTCGGACTTTCCTGTTCTGCGTCTGCACTCTGACAGAGGCGGAGAGTTCTCTTCTCGCCTTCTGCGGGACTACTGTCGTGCACGGGGGATCCGCCAGACCTTCACGCTTCCGGACTCACCACAGCAAAATGGGATTGCTGAGCGCCGCATTGGCATGGTCATGGATGTCGCTCGTACGTCCATGATGCATGCGGCTGCCCCCCATTTTCTGTGGCCGTTTGCGGTGAGGTACGCGGCGCATCAGCTCAACCTTCACCCCCGGGTCTCTCGGCCTGCGATGTCCCCAGCCTTGCTGTGGACGGGGAAGGTTGGCGATGCGTCTGTGTTCCGTGTCTGGGGATCTCGGGCGTTTGTCCGCGACTTGTCTGCGGACAAGCTGTCCCCTCGTGCTGCTCCCTGTGTCTTCCTTGGCTTCCCCACTGACGCCCCAGGGTGGCAGTTTTACCACCCCTCCTCTCGTCGTGTTCTGTCCTCCCAGGACGTCACGTTCGACGAGTCAGTCCCCTTCTACCGTCTCTTCCCCTACCGCACTCCTTCCCTTCCCCCTCCCCCGGACTTCCTTGTGCCGGTTCCCCCCCCGGTAGACCCCCTCCCCCCTCAGGTTCCTGCCCCCTCAGGTGTGTCCCAGGTAGACGCCGTTGACCCGGTCGAGGTTACTGGTGACTCTGGTGCTGCTGCGGGTGCTGAGCCTGGGGGTGCTGACTCTGGGGGTGCTGTGCGCGGGGGTGCTGAGCCTGGGGGTGCTACTGCTGGGGGTGCTGGGCCTGAGGGTGCTACTGCGGAGGGTGCGGAGCCTGGGGGTGCTGAGCGGGGGGGTGCTGTGCCTGGAGGTGCTGGGTCTGGGGGTGCTGGGTCGGGAGCTGCTGAGCCTGGGGGTGCTGAGCTGGGAGCTGCTGAGCCTGGGGGTGCTGCGTCTGGAGCTGCTGAGCCTGGGGTTTCTCCTGCTCCTGCGTCTCGCCGGGAGCCCCTCTCTCCACAGGAGCTGCGCGAGTGGTTCGCTCGCCGCTGGAGGCGTGCTGCTGAGTCTGGAGGTGCTGCTGGAGCTGGAGCTTCTTCGACTGTCGAGGGTGCGGGTGCTGCCGGTCCCGGAGCTGCTGGACCTGCGGGTCCTCCTGGAGCTGGAGCTGCTGAGGGCGCTGGTGCTGAGCCTACTGCTGTTGGTCCTGCCGCTGGAGGTGTGGGTGGCGCTGGTGCTGTCGCTGAGGGTGCTGGTGCTGTCCCTGCTGAGTCTGGAGCTGCCGCGCGGCCTCGGCCGTACTTCGTTCCGCTCTTGCAGCAGGTTCTTGGTCTTTCTCCTCCAGTAGAGGGTCCACCGCCTGTCCAGTCGCAGTCCCTGCTGGAGCCTTCCTCTCCACTGCCTGCTCCCTCTCCTTACACTGGTCCTACTGGAGGTCTTGCTGAGCGTCGTGAGCCTGCGTCTCGTCCCGCGTCGCCTGCTCGTGCTGCTCGCGCTAGTGGTCGCAGTTCGCGTCAGCGTCCTCCTCCTGTCCCTGGCACGCACCGGATGTCTCTGCGTCCGTCCACTGCTCCTCTGCGTGCCCCTTTGCCTTCTCCTCCTGAGTCCTCTCTTCCTGCGCTTGCCGACCCTGAGTCGGACTCTCTTCGTGCTGCCAGTCCTACTGTCACGCGTCTGCTTGCTACTGTCGTCACTGACCCCTCTTTTGAGTCCACTGCTGCGTCTGCTCTAGTCGCTGAGCTCGTCGACTTTGCTGCTCGCTGTCGTCTCGACTACGCTGCTAGTCTTGTTGCTGAGTCTGCGTCTGTCTGTCCTCCGTCCGTCGGGGGTGAGTGTGCTCTTGGCACGGACGTCCTAGAGGACAGGCAGGAGGAGTTACAGTGTCTAGCGGCTGCTTCACCTCATCTCGCGTCTGTCCTGCTTGCCCCTGAGGGAGACCCGGATGCACTAGACATCCCGACTCCGCGTTCTTACGCGGAGGCCGTAGAGGGTCCCTACTCCTCTCAGTGGCAGGCAGCTATGGATGCAGAGATGGCCTCCTGGAAGTCCACAGGCACCTACGTTGACGCGGTTCCCCCTCCTGGGGCGAACATCGTCAGTGGCATGTGGATCTTCAGGGTGAAGCGGCCGCCGGGCTCTCCACCTGTCTTCAAGGCGCGGTACGTTGCTCGTGGCTTCAGTCAGCGGCAGGGAGTTGACTACTTTCATACCTTCTCTCCCACCCCGAAGATGACCACTCTTCGGGTGCTGCTGCACATAGCCGCTCAGCGCGACTACGAGCTTCACTCTCTCGACTTCAGCACTGCGTTCCTGCAGGGTAGCCTGCACGAGGAGATCTGGCTGCGCCGTCCACCTGGCTTCACTGGGACTTTCCCTCCTGGCACCCAGTGGAGCCTCCGACGGCCAGTCTACGGTCTCCGCCAGGCACCGCGTGAGTGGCACGACACACTGAGGACTACGCTTGCGGCTCTTGGGTTTGCTCCTTCTACTGCTGACCCGTCGCTGTTTCTTCGCACCGACACTTCCCTGCCGCCGTTCTACATCCTCGTGTACGTCGACGACTTGGTCTTTGCCACAGCGGACACTGCTGGACTCGCCTACGTGAAGTCCGAGCTGCTGAAGAGACACACGTGCACAGACCTGGGTGAACTGCGCAGCTACCTTGGCTTGCAGATCACTCGGGACAGAGCACGCCGCACCATTACCTTGACTCAGTCACACATGGTGCAGCAGGTCCTTCAGCGCTTCGGCTTCACGTACTCCTCGCCTCAGGCCACTCCTCTGCCTACTCGCCACTCACTCTTAGCTCTGCCTTCGGATGAGTCCGTAGAGTCGAGTGGTCCGTATGCAGAGCTTGTTGGCTGCCTCATGTACCTGATGACCTGCACACGACCTGACCTTGCATACCCTCTGAGCATTCTTGCACGCTATGTTGCTCCTGGGAGACACCGACCAGAGCACATGGCTGCAGCGAAGAGGGTATTGCGCTACCTGTGCAGTACGTCGGGCATGGGGCTAGTGCTTGGAGGGCGCAGTCCAGTGGTCCTTACCGGCCACTGCGGACGCTTCTTGGGCTGACGACCAGGCTACGCAGCGGTCGTCACAGGGTTACACCTTCAGCCTTGGTTCCGGCTCTGTCTCGTGGCGGTCTACTCGCTCGTCTTCGGTTCTCGGCTCCAGTTGTGAGGCTGAGATCTACGCCGGGGCCATGGCTGCACAGGAGCTTCGCTGGCTCACCTACCTGCTGACTGACCTTGGAGAGCCGCCTCGTTCTCCTCCAGTGCTGTACGTAGACAACAAGGCCATGCTGGCCTTGTGTCGAGAGCAGCGCTTGGAGCACAGAACGAAGCACATTGCTCTCCGCTACTTCCTTGCTCGTGAGCTGCAGCAGCGTGGTCAGTTGCGACTTGCGTACGTGGCCTCTGAGGCCAACACCGCTGATGTGTTCACCAAGGCACTCGCGCCTTGTGACCATCAGCGCTTTTGCACCCAGCTGGGTCTTGTGCCTGTCTTGCCTCACTTGCTCTCCTCTTGACTTCACTTGTACTGTGACATATATATATACCTGCTCTTGCTTGTCTAGTTTTATATATATGTCTGTACTCCTGCATGTGAACTGGCCTCTGGCCCTGTTCTTGTGCTCGGACTGTGTGGTGACGTTGTGATCCACCCTGAGCTTGCTTTGCTTTGCTTTGCTTGACTGGTCTTGTGACCCCTTGTTCTCCCCCACTTTGCCTATGGGGGTGTGTCGGATTATTATAACTGATGCATGTTTGTAGGCTATAGTGGGGTAGCACATATGGGGTACAGCTTTCTAGGGTTGTATTTGTACCCAACTCTGACTTAGTCATTTCATTCCTGTTTTCCTTGCTTCACATTTTTCACATGCTAGACCCTTGTTCTTTTTATTTTGCACACGCTAGGCCCTTGTTCTTGCTATTTCGCGAACGCTAGGCCCTTTATCTTGATTGTTTGCACACGCTATCCCTTGCTCTTGCTACTTTGGGCTCGCTAGGCCCTTGTTCTTGCAATTTTGCACATGCTAGGCCCCTGTTCTGGCAATTTTGCACACGCTAGGCCCTTGTTCTTTCTATTTTGCACACGCTAGGCCCTTGTTCTTACTATTTTGCATACGCTATGCCCTTGTTCTTTTTATTTTGCACACGCTAGGCCCTTGTTTTTTTTTAATTTTGCACACGCTAGGCCCTTGTTCTTTCTATTTTGCACACGCCATGCCCTTGTTCTTTTTATTTTGCACACGCTTTGCCGTTGTTTTTTTTTTTTTTGCACATGCTAGGCCCTTGTTCTTGCTATTTTGCGAACGCTAGGTCCTTGTTCTTGATTTTTTGCACACGCTAGGCCCTTGCTCTTGCTATTTTGCACTTGCTAGGCCCTTGTTCTTGCAATTTTGCACGCGCTAGGCCCTTGTTCTTGCAATTTTGCACGCGCTAGGCCCTTGTTCTTGCTATTTTGCACACGCTAGGCCCTTGTTCTTGCAATTTGGCACACGCTAGGCCCTTGTTCTTTTTATTTTGCATAAGCTAGGCCCTTGTTCTTTTTATTTTGCACACGCTACGCCCTTGTTCTTGCTATTTTGCGAACGCTAGGCCCTTGTTCTTGATTTTTTGCACACGCTAGGCCCTTGCTCTTGCTATTTTGCACTCGCTAGGCCCTTGTTCTTGCAATTTTGCACACGCTAGGCCCTTGTTCTTTTTATTTTGCACACGCTAGGCCAATGTTCTTTTTATCTTGGACACGCTAGGCCCTTGTTCTTGCAATTTTGCACATGCTAGACCCTTGTTCTTTTTTTTTTTCACACGCTAGGCCCTTGCTCTTGCTATTTTGCACCCGCTGGGCCCTTGTTCTTGCAATTGTGCACACGCTCGGCCCTTGTTCTTGCAATTTTGCACACACTAGGCCCTTGTTATTGCAATTTTGCACTCGCTAGGCCCTTGTTCTTTTTATTTTGCACACGCTAGGCCCTTGTTCTTGCAATTTTGCACTCGCTAGGCCCTTGTTCTTTTTATTTTGCACACGCTAGGCCCTTGTTTTTTTTATTTTGCACACGCTAGGCCCTTGTTCTTGCTATTTTGCACACGCCATGCCCTTGTTCTTTTTATTTTGCACACGCTATGCCCTTGTTCGTTTTGTTTTGCACATGCTAGGCCCTTGTTCTTGCTATTTTGAGAACGCTAGGTCCTTGTTCTTGATTTTTTGCACACGCTAGGCCCTTGCTCTTGCTATTTTGCACTTGCTAGGCCCTTGTTCTTGCAATTTTGCACGCGCTAGGCCCTTGTTCTTGCAATTTTGCACGCGCTAGGCCCTTGTTCTTGCTATTTTGCACACGCTAGGCCATTGTTCTTGCAATTTTGCACACGCTAGGCCCTTGTTGTTTTTATTTTGCACACGCTAGGCCCTTATTCTTGCTATTTTGCACACGCTATGCCCTTGTTCTTTTTATTTTGCACACGCTTGGCCCTTGTTCTTGCAATTTTGCACATGCTTGACCCTTCTTTTTGCAATTTTGCACACGCAAGGCCCTTGTTCTTGCTATTTTGCACACTCTAGGCCCTTGTTCTTGCAATTTTGCACATGTAGGCCCTTGTTTTTTTTTTTTTGCACACGCTAGGCCCTTGTTCTTGCTATTTTGCACACGCAAGGCCCTTGTTCTTGCTATTTTGCACACACTAGGCCCTTGTTCTTGCTATTTTGCACACGCTATGCCCTTGTTCTTTTTATTTTGCACACGCTAGGCCCTTGTTCTTGCTATTTCGCGAACGCTAGGCCCTTTATCTTGATTTTTTGCACACGCTAGCCCTTGCTCTTGCTACTTGGCGCTCGCTAGGCCCTTGTTCTTGCAATTCTGCACATGCTAGGCCCTTGTCTTAGCAATTTTGCACACGCTAGGCCCTTGTTCTTTTTATTTTGCACACGCTTGGCCCTTGTTCTTGCTATTTTGCATACGTTATGCCCTTGTTCTTTTTATTTTGCACACGCTAGGCCCTTGTTCTTGCAATTTTGCACATGCTAGACCCTTGTTCTTTTTATTTTGCACACGCTAGGCCCTTGCTCTTGCTATTTTGCACCCGCTAGGCCCTTGTTCTTGCAATTGTGCACACGCTAGGCCCTTGTTCTTGCAATTTTGCACACGCTAGGCCCTTGTTCTTGCAATTTTGCACTCGCTACGCTCTTGTTCTTTTTATTTTGCACACGCTAGGCCCTTGTTCTTGCTATTTTGCACACGCCATGCCCTTGTTCTTTTTATTTTGCACACGTTGTGCCCTTGTTCTTTTTTTTTTGCACATGCTAGGCCCTTGTTCTTGCTATTTTGCACACGCTATGCCATTGTTCTTTTTATTTTGCACACGCTAGGCCCTTGTTCTTGCAATTTTGCACATGCTAGACCCTTGTTTTTTTTTTTTTTGCACATGCTAGGCCCTTGTTCTTGCTATTTTGCGAACGCTAGGTCCTTGTTCTTGATTTTTTGCACATGCTAGGCCCTTGCTCTTGCTATTTTGCACTTGCTAGGCCCTTGTTCTTGCAATTTTGCACGCGCTAGCCCCTTGTTCTTGCAATTTTGCACACGCTAGGCCCTTGTTCTTGCAATTTTGCACATGCTAGACCCTTGTTTTTTTTTTTTTGCACATGCTAGGCCCTTGTTCTTGCTATTTCGCGAACGCTAGGTCCTTGTTCTTGATTTTTTGCACACACTAGGCCCTTGCTCTTGCTATTTTGCACTTGCTAGGCCCTTGTTCTTGCAATTTTGCACGCGCTAGGCCCTTGTTCTTGCAATTTTGCACACACTAGGCCCTTGTTCTTGCAATTTTGCACACGCTAGGCCCTTGTTCTTTTTATTTTGCACACGCTAGGCCCTTATTCTTGCTATTTTGCACACGCTATGCCCGTGTTCTTTTTTTTTTGCACACGCTTGGCCCTTGTTCTTGCAATTTTGCACATGCTAGACCCTTGTTCTTTATATTTTGCACACGCTAGGCCCTTGTTCTTGCTATTTTGCACAGGCTATGCCCTTGTTCTTTTTTTTTTGCACACACTAGGCCCTTGTTCTTGCAATTTTTCACATGCTAGACCCTTGTTCTTTTTATTTTGCACACGCTAGGCCCTTGTTCTTGCTATTTCGCGAACGCTAGGCCCTTTATCTTGTTTTTTTGCACACGCTAGCCCTTGCTCTTGCTACTTGGCGCTCGCTAGGCCCTTGTTCTTGCAATTCTGCACATGCTAGGCCCTTGTTTTTGCAATTTTGCACACGCTAGGCCCTTGTTCTTTTTATTTTGCACACGCTTGGCCCTTGTTCTTGCTATTTTGCATACGTTATGCCCTTGTTCTTTTTATTTTGCACACGCTAGGCCCTTGTTCTTGCAATTTTGCACATCCTAGACCCTTGTTCTTTTTATTTTGCACACCCTAGGCCCTTGCTCTTGCTATTTTGCACCCGCTAGGCCCTTGTTCTTGCAATTGTGCATACGCTAGGCCCTTGTCCTTGCAATTTTGCACACGCTAGGCCCTTGTTTTTTTTATTTTGCACACGCTAGGCCCTTGTTCTTGCTATTTTGCACACGCCATGCCCTTGTTCTTTTTATTTTGCACACGCCATGCCCTTGTTCTTTTTGTTTTGCACATGCTAGGCCCTTGTTCTTGCTATTTTGAGAATGCTAGGTCATTGTTCTTGATTTTTTGCACACGCTAGGCCCTTGCTCTTGCTATTTTGCACTTGCTAGGCCCTTGTTCTTGCAATTTTGCACGCGCTAGGCCCTTGTTCTTGCAATTTTGCACGCGCTAGGCCCTTGTTCTTGCTATTTTGCACACGCTAGGCCCTTGTTCTTTTTATTTTGCATAAGCTAGGCCCTTGTTCTTTTTATTTTGCACAGGCTAGGCCCTTGTTCTTGCTATTTTGCGAACGCTAGGCCCTTGCTCTTGCTATTTTGCACTTGCTAGGCCCTTGTTCTTGCAATTTTGCACACGCTAGGCCCTTGTTCTTGCAATTTTGCACACGCTAGGCCGTTGTTCTTTTTATTTTGCACACGCTAGGCCCTTGTTCTTTTTATCTTGCACACGCTAGGCACTTGTTCTTGCTATTTTGCACACGCTATGCCCTTGTTCTTTTTTTTTTGCACACATTAGGCCCTTGTTCTTGCAATTTTTCACATGCTAGACCCTTGTTCTTTTTTTTTTGCACACGCTAGGCCGTTGTTTTTGCTATTTCGCGAACGCTAGGCCCTTTATCTTGATTTTTTGCACACGCTAGCCCTTGCTCTTGCTACTTGGGGCTCGCTAGGCCCTTGTTCTTGCAATACTGCACATGCTAGGCCCTTGTCTTTGCAATTTTGCATACGCTAGGCCCTTGTTCTTTTTATTTTGCACACGCTTGGCCCTTGTTCTTGCTATTTTGCATACGTTATGCCCTTGTTCTTTTTATTTTGCACACGCTAGGCCCTTGTTCTTGCAATTTTGCACATGCTAGACCCTTGTTCTTTTTATTTTGCACACGCTAGGCCCTTGCTCTTGCTATTTTGCACC